TATTGTTCATAGAAGAATTCTCATAATTAAAGGTGGGTACCGAGTTACAATGGGAGTTAATCATTATTTTAAACATCTGGACTATTTATGGTATACTAGACAACCCGTTGGGTCACCCATTATTCAGAGGTTATGAGGAATTCATATTTATTTTATTACCTCGTCTCCATTGTTACTATTTGCAAATGGTCAATAATATTGTAGGTCCATTTTATTGTTGTTCTTTCTACACGCTGTTATAACACATTTTCATCTTATCACTTAATTTCTGTTGTGCATATATTATTGTATAGAAGATATTTTAAAGTGATTCATCAGGTAGAAAACAAAGAGATAAATATATAAAACGATATGTGTCACCATCTAGTGTACCTAAGTTCATCTAGAAATTTTCATAAAAGTGACCCGAAAAACGGGGCTAAACTCGGTAACCTGTGGCCCGATTTTAACGAAACTTGTTTTATTCTGTTTCTATTCTCATTTTCATTACAAATATGGTGGTATTGTGCACTATTTTTGCTGTATTTAATTACAGACAAGCAAACAATCTCAGTTTTAGTAGTATATAGGTTCAACATGGGTAAAAAAATAATTTGTGCCATATTTTACCATATATCCTAACCTACTACAGTTGTCCAAATCTTTTTATAAATCATAATTTTAAAAAATATAAAATTATTTACTATAAAACTTAATATCACATAAATATAACAAACCTCAACTGCCCGTAGTACGTCTCGAAAACTGGATCTTTGCTGACGACGATCTTTCTTTGCACGAAACTTCTGACTGTCAGTGGCTAGTTGTTGTAACTTCACACACAGTTCATCAATATTGTCTCCCTCAAAGTCCTAGAAAATGTTTTAAATTAACAAGAACTTATATTTGAAAGATCCATACAAATTAATTTTTCCAAATCTCATACGAAAGACATCCCTCAGATGAGTTAACTTTATGAACAATCCTTCAATTTTTCCAAGTAGGTTTTAAAATTATCATATCCGAGTATGAATCACAATGATAGCTTGATCTTTATAAGTCCATATTAGCATGAGTGGAAGTAAGTGATAACCTTGTGTCCCCATATCACAATATTTGAAGCCCCACAACCATTAAGAAATATATGGCTTATAACTTTACAGCACAATACATAAACCTTGCAATTTACACTTAAAACTTAACAACAGAAAAACATTAACAAAATAACTATAACAGCTAAGTTGCTTTAATAAGTGATAAACTACTTAGCACCCATTTTTCATATCTTGTGTTGTACAAGTTGAATAATTTTAAAGTCTATCTTCCCTATTTAAACAAAATACAAATATATTACACAAGATATAACTAGGTGTGTTTTTTTACATTTTAATTTTCACATTGTCTTGCATCTTTTATACGATTTTTGTCACCAAACATCATTTTTATTCTTTAACATCACATAAATTAGCATTTTCTATCCATACACAGAGCTATCAAAATACAAACCTCATCTGTTTCTCTCATCACTTCATACAGGACAGCAATTGTCTCTCCTGCTGCTATTCGCAGTTCTAGGTTAGGGCTTTCTAATAGTTCAGATAACTTTTGCAAATGGCTGCAAATAAATAAATAATTTGTTATACATACAAAACTAATAATCACTAACTTACAAATGACTGGGAAACACTTTTTCAATAACCTTCAAATGTAGAAAAATGTCCAGCAATAGTAGCACTATGAAACAGAACCAATGACACCATTTATAGTGACTACTAACAATCTTTAGAACTAGAAGCAATTTATTAATGGCCCAGAATAATTAAGAACTTTACTTTCAAAAGACACCTTATAAAAATTATAGAAATACGTACGAATATAAAAAAATCATAAAAAGCATGTATGGTCATATACAGGTGTGTTATTCCTAGAGCATCTCAAACACACAGTTGCTTAATCTACACAATAATTACAGGTTTGAACCCTGGATCTAGTACTTGAAAGGACAATTGTATCGATTTGTTACAAGTGAAATGAGAGAGAAGTCTCAGTGTGAAGATGAATAAAAAATGCTATATTGGCAGAATGAATTTCTTACCGATTCAACAATTAGTTGAAAGGACTGAACACTGTAAACATTAAAACAAGGATAAGATGTCTACAGCATGCCTTGATTCCTTCAATATCAGAAATGAATTTTAACAAAATGAACTAAAATTGCTCTCCAAATCCACATTCTTTCTGTAGCAAACCATTATATTACAAAACTAGATCATTACTATCCAAAACATTCTTACGGCATGGGAAAGATCTAAATTGTTCCAAATAAAAAGAGTAGAATAAAACTATCCCATAAAACAGTAGATAAACCTTCTTAATCCCAAAATAATTAATAGGATTAAATTAACATGCACACAAACCAAATTTAGTACATTCCAAATTAAAACTGCACAAAAAATAATTTCAAATTTGTACAATATAACATATATAACAGAGCAAGATGTGGTATGTGCATAACATAAAAGTATTTACACATTTGTTGTCATTCACAGACCTAACCCGCATCAAAAATAAGAAGCAAGAAATTAAACTAAGTTCCAGTATATTATCATTTCTGAATAAAATCTGTTTAAGAATTGTATTAATTAGTAAAAGATAATATTATACAAGCCAACTTAGAAAGCATTTTATGTGGCCAAATTTGAGCACTAAGGTAAGTATATGGTCTAAAACATGGGATAAGTTTAGTCTTAATAAGACTTCCATGCATTTTCATTTTAATATTTCATTCTGTTAAAATCATGTTTGAACTTCTTGTTTATTTAATCACACTAGAAAGCTTACCTTACTGCCAACTCCAATACCTGAGAGGTTGACAGAATTGTAACCAGTAGGCTCCATGCTAGCAATGCATGGCTGTGAAGAGTAGCTACTTCTGGGGTATGAGAAGGAACAGCTCCATTGCCTTTCAGGAATGATCCACTGAATATGGTATGTAGCAACTGCATGTTCAAAGCCAGACCCTGTTGAAATAAACACTTCTTTATTGGAAGAGCTTTAAAAAAAAAAAAAAAAACTCAAACAACTCAGTCACAGATTTTCTAAAACTTATATGTAAGGCTTATCATTAACATCAACCATACGAAATGAAGTTAGAAAATTATCTAATTTACTTAGGATTTGATAAAACTGAAAGTGGGTCACTTTAACAGATATAACAGTTTTAATGCTTTGACTTTTGATCAACAGTTTACTACAGTCAGGATCATATGAAGTTCAGGCCTTTTAAGCTAATAAGACTATAGTTTTACTTAAATATTTTTATCCAGTATATAAAGGAATTAAGATAATTAAAATGGAGCTTGGAAATTCATGGTTCTATGGACGTATGGATTATGTGTAACTCTATCTCTTAATTTATATACTATGTTACATTTGGAAACCTTAACCATTTTATTAAAGGAAGAATAGAAATGACCCACCTTATAACCTGAACAGCCCATTTGGAAAGCAAATGTCTTGAAGCTTATTGTAAAAATAAAAAACTTTGAATCCTTTCTCCAAGACTGACATGAATGGCCAGTGATATGATCTGTAGCTACTTACTAGTAAAATCAGCTGAAAAATACAAACTAAATGCCAATAGTCTTCAGCATACAGTCTGAAAAACACTATATTTACTTCAGATTATAAAAATGAACATAATTTAATAAAATACAATATAATTGTTCCTTATATTTGCTATATAATTATATAAATCAAAGAGAAAACTTACACTAACACCAGAGCTGGTTATAAAGCTGCATAACCCTAGGGCTGTTGCACACTAGATTCAAAAGGAAGCAAAAAAAAAAATCAACCTAACTTGTAAACAGAATAAAAACACACACACATAGTAT